AAATGTTACCTTAAGTAAAAGATAGTGTGGAAATATTTAGAGTCGGATCAGTAATTTTAATCTTAGAAACAATCTTCTGTTAAAACACACTTACAGACAGCAGGTGAAGAGAAGGAGTTATCGTTGCAGTTGCAAAATAGAGGGGCAGCGTTCACCTGATTTTTCAAGGTGAAGTTGGGAGCAGTTTCCGTCACACCTTTCAAAGTCAGGTGCAACAGAAACTACTCACAAACTTATTGGCTAAGGAATTCTAACGTTAGGTGTAACTTTATAACTTTACACATAACTAACTTTATGTTATGAATTATATAGCAATTAGTAGGAATTAGCATCTTGTTGCATTTCCTGTGATTAGGATAAGTGGGAAACATAAGACGAGCAACAGAATTTGATAAGGATAGCAAGGAAGACAATGAATAACAGAATTCAAAACAGTCCTTAGAGATAAGCAAGTTTGGCAAATATCTCAGATAGAGTATAACTGTTAACACTAGAATGTAAATTAATGAGATACGTTGTAAGATTCCCAAGGACTGACGACAATGTTGTCTAGTAAACATCTAGGGAACCTAGGATTGTCCATTATTGATCAGGTGTTTTATAGGCTTGGATGTATAGATTAGGGGGATGGAACAGTGACATTAAAATTGCATGTAATTATTGTAACACAAAATGCATAAAAATACTGTATTCAGATAGGAAAGCCAGAGTGTCACAGACCTTTCCTCCGATCTAAGCCATACTTAAGAGGGCAACTGGGCCCCACGTGAAAGCCAGATTCAGACTCGTCTCTGGCCTCATCCACCTGTGTGGTAAAACTCTGAATAAAGTTCGCTTGTACTGCTGAAAACAGAACTGTACACTCCTCTTTGACAGCTCACCCCAACACAACTGAAACAAAAACAAAACGGAGAAATCCAGCAGTTTCGGTGGCATCCGTTTCTCTCTCCACAGGTGCTGCCAGACCTGGATGATTTTTCCAGCAATTTGGTTTTATTTTATTCCAGCATCTACGGGATTTTGCTTTTAATTTGGCACTATGACTCATCCTGTTCGAGCACTGTCGACGAACATGTAGGCCATATGTGGCAGGTGGGGTTTCTAAATATAGTAATATTTGTAGAGCAGGGATATTCTTCCAGCCAACATTTATCCTTCAAACGACAATTAAAGTTAGATAACCTGACACTTATATAATTGCACACAACAAAATGCCATATTGTGAGAACTGGTTGTTGTGTTTCCCACACTGAAGAAAAGCAACAGTGACAAGGAAAAGAAGCTGAGGGAGTGGGTCGGGCATGTACTGTGAGAGGGAGGGTTGCATGTAAGAACATATGGCTGTACTTTTAAACATACTAGTTGAACATATCTAACGATGGAAAATGGATTTTGATTTTGAGTTTTTAATAGGATGTTTCAGTGGTTGATTGGGATTTGTACAATCTAGCTGTGACGTGTCTTTTACTCATACAGAATGAACTACTTTCATCTTTAAAGCATTTTAGTAACAAATCTTTACTGACATTGACTTTTCCCTCAATTTCACCGTACAGGCCTTGTTTGGCAGTTTTCTATTTATGTCAGGATAGGGCACGATACAAGCGAGAAACTGTTCCTTTTGGTGCGATGATCAAAAATCAGAAGATGGCAATTTAAAGAGACTGGCATAAAAAGCGGTGTGAGGTCTGGAACTGAAACGTACTGGTTCAGAGTGTGAAGGAAGTAAATTCAACTGCAACTTTGAAAGGGAATTATATAATTATCTGAACAGGAAAATACTGCAGGACTAAAAGGAAAAGATGGAAAGTGGTGCTAGGTGAATACTGCTCGAAGGGAGCCAGCACACACACATCACGGGTCAAATAGCGTGTTCCTACATTGTAACCATTCATGACGCCATAATGTTCTGTGACATTAATATGTCAATGAGGGTGCTCAAATGAATCTGGTCTGCTGTGCGAGATAATTTTAAAAACAGCTGAACAATCTGTTCTTCACAGCTGTATCAGATTCGAAACGTTAACCGTTTCTCTCTCCATAGACCCAATTTTCTCCAGCATTTTTATTTTCAAGGATTAAACAGCTAGCTGTACTTTTCATTGAAATGAACAGTACTGTTGTACTCACATAGATATATTAACTCAATTATCAGATACCTCTTCTGTGGAGGCAGAAACAGTTAACATTTCAAATGCGATATGACTCTGAAGAACAGATTGTTCAGCTTATTCAGCTGTTTTTAAAATGATCTCACAGCAAACCAGGTTCATTTGAGCTCCCTCATGCATGCAAGTTTGAGGGAGGCAATTTAAGATTAGACAGTCAGTTAAAATGGTCCACGGGTTGTCCACAAAATAGTTAAACAATGCAATGAAATATTTTCTTCTGCAATCAAGTAGCTTATGAAAATGTCATATACTCCTTCCAAATAAAAATCTATGATATTCCTACCATACCAACAATGCAAACACATACATACAGAATGACTGGAGACACTAGGACAGTACGATGAAGATTCATTTCCTGAGTTTGAATGTTTAAAATTAAATTGTTACATCATGACATGTAAGCTTAAGTATTTACAAGTCACTAGAATGCATGTCTTCAAAACATACAACTGTCTCTAAATTTACATAAATAGCTTGGGTTCAAACTGCAACACTAAGTTCAATTTACGGACAGTTTTAAAGTAGAATTGTTAGGTACAGATCAGGAGTAACGATCTTATAATATGGTCAAGTGAGCAGAAAAATAGCAGATGAAATTTAACAGACCAGTACACAGTAATGAACACAAGAGGCCAGTACGTCATGCAGGTTCCAATAATGATGCAGAACTAGCAAACAAAGACGTGAATACTGACTCTGGAGAAACAAAAGCAAAACAGGCTGAACTCCAGAAATTTGTAGTAAAAGCCAGAAAATGCTAGGTAGAACCTGTGGAATGTTAACAGAATGATGATTTTTATCTTAAGTCCTGAACTGGACTTAATTGTCTTTAAGAGTTGATTCAATGTCTGATTGATGCAAAGCAGAAATAAGAATACATAACTGTTTAAACTATGTAATGTAATATGCAATGTTAAAGGAGATAGTGAGTAAACCTTATAGTAGTCTTATTAGATGCCAACTTGAAAACTGCAGCCAATTTTAGTTGCCAAGAACGAGAGACATTGAAAATCCTGAGACAAAACTGTTTTCTGTCATGAGTACCAGTGCAGTGCCAAGTAATTATCAAAAATTTGTAGAAGTCATAGATTGATTGCCACAAGAGGTCAGCATGGTGGCACAATGGCTTGACAGGGTAAATGCTGAAAGGATGTCCTATGAGGGGAAACAACCTAATACCAGAGGACATAGCCTCAGAATAAATGGATACAATTAACAAACGAGACGAGAAGGACTTTCTTCTCTCAGATGGCTGAGTGTCTTTGGAACTCTTTGCCACAGACAGCTGTGGGGGGTAGAGCCCTTGTTATATTTAAGGCTGAAGGATAGATTTTTGATCAGTAGGGGAATCAATGATTACAGAGAAAAGAGAGGAAACTGGACAGGAGGAATGTCAGGTCGGCCATGATCCTACTGAAGGGTGAAACGGGCACGATGGGCCGAATGGCCTATTCCTGTCCCTATTTCTTATAGTTTTAACATTTTCAAAACAGTTCAATAATAAGCTTCTAATTAAGTAACGCAAAAATACATAATTGAAGATGAAAAGACAATCAGCAAAATTTGTGGGTATATCTAAGTTAGATATTTTGCAAGCTAGGACTGTAGATTATATGGTTTTGCACCCCATCTTGCAAGAAAGCATGAAGGGTAAAATTGAAAGTACAGTTATTTAGCTGTTAATAACGTGTGCTTCCTTGCAACCAACTCAACAGCAGAAGTCTCAAAGCAGATCACTCGCTTCCTTCCACAATTCACAGCTTATTGAGCAAACTAGACAGGGTTTTAAAGGGGAAAGGAATGGATTTCATAAAGCTACTGGACATAAGAAACAGTATAGTTAAACCAAGAGCTAACAAGGTGTAGAGTTGGATGAACACTGCAGGCCAAGTAGCATCAGAGGAGCTGGAAAGCTTTCCTGCTCCTCTGATGCTGCTGGGCCTGCTGTGTTCTTCCAGCTCTACACCTTGTTATCTCAGATTCTCCAGCATCTGCAGTTCCTACTATCTCTGAAACATAGTTAAACCAATTCTTCTTTACTCCATTTTGAGAATTGGTCAAGGACAGTGCGTTTGAGTAAATGATGTCTGCTGAAACATGAAGCATAAAACTCTCCACAT